ATATATATATATATATATGTTTTTCGAAATTATGACTACTTCTTGGGCTAAATCTTTTAGAGATAAGTAACTCTTAACTAAAATTTGCAAGTCAAATCAAGACACAATCTCTTATTTTTATGAGTAAAGAGCCAAAATAATACCCTACATTTTAGATGAGGTCGTTTTAATCCCTGAGTTTATAGAAATGCTAAAATAGTTTCCAAACTGTTTATATTGGGGTTGGAATAGCACACATGAAGAACTATTAAAACTATTTTAACACTTCTATAAACTCTGAGATTAAAACGATCACATGTAAATAATCGATGACTATGCTGACACTTTACTTTTTTTTTTAAATTACAAATGTGTTTGTTAGTGAAATAAACATGTTTTTTAATTCCTTTAAAAGATATTAGCATATCTATTAATCTATTTTTAAGATTAATTTTTGTTGCATCATCACATATATAGTGCAAGTATTAAATACTCAAAAAATATTATTAATTGGAAAAAATAAAAGAGAGAAATTGAAAGAGACATTGCATTAAACTTTCAAATAAATTTTCAATGACAAGTTTACATGTGAAGTGCTTCTGCACAAATTTCAATAAAATCCAATAAATTAAGAGAAAAGAAGGTATGACCAATAAGAACCCACCGAGGGAAGACCAAAACTCCTATTACTAGAAGATCAAATAACTTAATTGATAAAGTGCAAATCCCTTAGATCGGGATCCAAAGTCGATCATATGTAAGTCGTTCGAGCCAATGACTAAGATATATCAAGCTAAGAGAATACATCAACCTAACTCTCGCCCTATCATGTTGAATTATAGTGATGCATCATTTGTCTGACAGCGATGCATCATTTGCTTCATTAAAAGTTTGTGTAATTCCTATTATCATATACCATACTTTCGATATTTAAAGGATATAATGATCTCATAATTGAAAGATCTTTAGGTCTGTTTGGGACAGTTTTTGTTTATTTTGTTTTACACCACCAACACAACTTCATTTGGGGAACAACTTTCTTGCTGTTTTTAAGAATTTTTTTTGTGGTGTAATTTTTTTTTTAATCTGCCTGTTAAAATACAGTAGCTGTAAGAAAGCTATTATTTAATATTTTTGAATAAATATATATTTATAATTATCACCGCATTTTTTCTAAGAAGTCGTTTTCATTACCACAACTTTATAATCATCTTTTTAAAAAGTTGTAAGAACCCCAAAACAACCCCGTAGTCTCACTTGATTTCTTTTCTCGATTCACTTGATTCAATTATAAAGATGCCAATTTCAGAGGTTGTTTAGCACTTTGATTAATGCATTGAAACTTATGATTAAATCTCAAGTGTTTGATTTATACATTTGTTCGCATTTTGGACAATTTTTTATGTCTTTTGGTTTGCCCCATATAAACGATTAGATTAACTACAAGGTTTGTTAAAATCAATAAATGGATCCTAAATTTATAATCCAAGAAGTGTATTAAGATTTATGCTAGATTTTCTAATGATATTTATTAGATTTCAGCTCAAACACAAACACGAGTTAAGTATCAAAATAGTACCTAACGATTTATATAGGGTCATTTTAATGTCGTTTTTTTATAGAAATATCAAAATAATACTCAATTTTTTTAAATTATGTCTGAAATTTGAACGTTTCTACAAACTCTGAGACTAAAATGATCTCAAACAAATACATCGAATACTGTTTTAGTACTTCACTCATATAATACATATACTCATGCTAAAAATAATGCATTTCTAAAGATTATTATTATTATTTTTTTATTTTATTAATTTCATATTTATTATTATTATTATTTATTTATTATGGTAAATATACATACTTGACATTCAATTCTTATGGATTTACATATCTTATATCTAAACTTTCATTTTTACACACAAAATAATTTTATCTATTGATAAAAAGATGAATTTGATTATGAAAAGATAATAATGAGTGCTATTTTTCATACGTTTATAATTGTGAAAGTGTAAGTATGAGAAATATAAATATGAAAATTTTGACTGCTATTTACGTAAAAAAGCCGTTTATTATTTATTTATTTATTTATTTATTTGTGGTGGACTGTGCTGGCCTTGGCATGCGCACGGTAAGAAAAGCGCGGCGGCGAATTACCAGTCAAACCAGTCATCAACTGGTTTTGCCGGTCACCCCCTCTATATTCTCCAACATTGTGCGCGCGAGTTAACAGCGAACCAGAATTGATGACCATTTAGCCATCCGAGCTGGTCTCCACGGCTCCGCTTCCTCTCTTCTACCGGCGCCTCCCTTTCCCCCGTTCATCTTGATCCTAGGTAAATTTTCTGCTCTCTGTTTGATGATCTCTTTTTATCTTCGATCATTTATTTCTTAGGATTCTTTGGAGAATTGAGCTCTAGAGTCATTAGGGTTTGGTCTAAGTGTATCTGGTGCGTTGTCTTTTTCATTTATTTTTAATGCTACCAGCTCTCGGTTGGTGAATTTTGTGCTATGGTTGCCGACTTATGAAAATGAATTTTTTATCTTTTGATTGGGTTTATGCTTAATTATGGTGAATGAGGAGCAATGTTGCCGGTGATAACAGGTCCGGGGGATTGAATTGGGGAAAGCAACTCAAATGGGAACTTCTTCTGGTGCGAATTTTGATCAGCAAGATTTGCCTAAAATGCTGCCTCCTCGTCAGCATCCTAGGTCCTTAGGGCTGCAGACATCACTGTCGTTAGCTTCATCTGATGCCTTTGGATCCCATGACATCCGAGAGCTTCAGTCGAATTCTAACCAAGCTCATGACTCCCCTTCTGATAGCACAAGCTCTAGGGAAACCTGGCCGGTTGAGACAGGTGGTGTTGATCTAAAGTCTGCTTTTAAGGAGAAGGAAGGAGAGAGTGACTTCCCTGAGCCTCAGGTGATTCATCGGGTATCCATTGCTGATAAACTCTCTCTTCGTGAAGTTGCCAGGGAGAGGGTTGAGGTTATTGCTGATAGAATGGCTGTCATGCCTGGTGAGCTTTTGGAAGAGCTTAAGGCTGAGTTGAGAGCCATACTTGAAGGAACAGGTGGATCTCATATCAGGGAGGAGTTCTCCAGACTTCAGCAGCTTCTGCAGAGTAGAGGAGACCTCACTGCTAAAACTCTTCTCGGAGCTCATAGAGTGCAGCTGGAAATTCTGGTGGCTATCAACACAGGAATTCTTGCTTTTCTGCACCCAAATGTGAGCCTTCCCCTGAGTAGACTCGCTGAGATTTTCTCATACAAAAGATGTAGGAACATTGCTTGCCAGAGTCCTATTCCCGCCGATGATTGCTCCTGTGACGTTTGCTCTCACAGAAATGGCTTTTGCAATCTCTGCATGTGTGTGGTCTGTAATAAGTTTGATTTTGAGGTCAACACGTATCGCTGGATCGGTTGCGATTTCTGCACACATTGGACTCACTCGGACTGCGCTATGAGGATTGGTCAGATTGGAATGGGAGCTTCTGCTAAGATTGGAATGGAGAATGGTGAGATGCTTTTCAGCTGCTTAGCATGTAACAGGACATCCGAGTTGTTGGGCTGGGTGAAAGACGTGTTTCAACACTGTGCTCCGGGATGGGATCGAGAGGCGTTGTTACGAGAACTTGAATTTGTCCGCGGGATTTTTCAACTCAGTGAGGATTCAAGGGGAAGGAAATTGTATAGGATGTGTGGTGAAATCATTGAAAAGATCAAGGGTGGTGCTTCGAAGTCTACGGCATGCAGGATGTTACTCCTGGTATTTCAAGGTGGTTCTTTTCGCTTTAACTTTTGCAGGCCTTTTGCTCAAAAACTTTTTAAGTCTTGGGGGATTTACATACACAACACACAATTCTAGCAATAAAATCTTTAATATCATATCAAAGATAGGATTATTACCACTTCTTAAAAGTGAAAATATACATTTTGATGCATTGGTTTAAAGCACCAAAGCGCTATGCATGTAAATATGAAAGTCTAGGTGTGAGATTTTAAAATACATATGAATTGTGTGCTAGGTATGTAAATTTCCCTCGAGCTCTGTGCATTCCTGCATGCATGCTATATGTCTCAGTGAACATTAAGCTGCAAGCACGTCACTAAAATTAGAGGGTAATCTTATATTATGCCTTGTATTTAAGTTTTATATTTCTATAGCTAATCTAGCTTTGTTTTTGAAAACTTGTTTCAATTATCTTGGCTGCTGCACATTTCGCTTATACTTAGGAAAGTAAGTGTTGAACATGAATCATATTTCTTTTGAAGCTAAATATTTTTTTAGTCAAGTGACTTGGATAATTTTAATGTTCATCTAGTTTTTTTTTTTTTTAAGATTATCTGGCCTACTTGATATTTTTTTCTTCTGATAGCTCAAAACCATGGGAGCAATGAGATCTTGCTGAGTATGGTCTCTTGACTTGTTATATTTGGAATTTGAAGGCATGTTTTCATTTAATAGTGAAGTAATAGGTATTGAAAGTCAATTAATTTATTTTCATTGAATTACTATAAAAGGATGGTTTTATAGGGTTTTTCCTTTTCTGTTTTTATATTGACTAGAATATACAAAATTGTGCCGTGAGAATCTCTCTCTCTTTTTTTGCAAGTTTTGTTTTTTTGCTTCAAAATTTAGAGACATTAATTGTACTAATGCAAGTTGTTTGTGTTTTCTAAGTGAAAATGAAAGAAAAAAGCAGATTATGTGCTTATGTGCTTCACAATGTAATTTTGCTAATAATTCATGATATTTACAAATGGCTAATGATCACATGGCAAAAACTTTTCATTTATAATATAGCTTTATAGGGAGTTATTGGGGCAGAAATCTTAGCATCTTGAAGGCTATTTCAGTTGAATTAATGCTAGTTTATCTTCATGTTTATTTTTATCCTTATATTGCTAATAACCAACTATTTATGTTTCTAGCAGATATGAGGATGATAGGATGGTTATGTGTGAAAATTATGAAGTTTAGAGTGGGAAGAATTTGTTTTCAAGAATTTTAGGAGTATTATCTATTGAGGGCAATGCTATAGAAAATGGACTTTGATCATTTGGGTTTACAAAAGATTTAGAGGGTAGGATTCAGTTATAGACCTGGAAGATAGAATTTGTTGAGAAGTTGTAGGATTTGGTCCAAGTTAAATTGGTTATAAGTTGTGAAAGAAAGCTTACGTAAAATTAAATTAACTTATATGCCCAACAAAAATAAATATCATTCTCATGAGAAAAGATTGTAGAAAACAAGCTTTGGAGATGTGGGTCTATATAAGACAGACGAGAGGATGCTATGATAGATTAGAAAGATATAATTTATGTGATAAGTATTGGAGTTAGATTAAAGGTAGCTTGATTAGTTTTTGACACATTGAATTTTTTGTTTTGTCTAAAAGATGATCACCTATACTGGAAGTACTTCATTTCGTCGAAGTAGTCTATTTTAGTCTACTATAGCTACCACATCTAAATGCAGTAAAATGGTTATGAACATTGGCGGTAAGGTAGGTCTAAAGTTTTTTCCAAAGGCTATTTTAAAATGTCGTTAGAGTGGCATTATGCTATTGAACGCCATAATATTTCCATATTAATGTGTATGAGGATGAAAATGAAATCAATGAGCATTTTTTTTAATCAAAGAGCTCAATGATGCTCTTGAGTTTAATGATAAGATAGTGGTTTTGAGGATACTTTAATTGGAAACACTTCTCAAGTTTCATGCATTATATCATAGTTGTAGCTAAGAATGAGCCTAAATGGAAAGAACTGCAATTTCTTAAACCTATTTCTAGCATAAGGAAAAGCTTTGCCAGCTTATCATGATAGTATGGTCGTATGACTATAGTGTCTAAATTTGCTGTAAACCGCATGAATTGAAATCTAAATCACATCCACATCCATATTGACAATATTTTGAGCAAATAGGCTGAATGCATTTTCCTTTGCTTTCATTCCAATAAATAGTAGTTTGTACAATCTATTTTAGATACATAATATTCAGTATAATCTAAATTAAATAACTTAATTAATACATATTCATAATCTAAATAATCAGTTAAAAGGAAAGAATCCGTGCAAATATAATATTTTCTTATTTGCAGTATCGCGAAGAAGAAATCTCTTTTTTCTATGTGATTTCTTTTATTCATGATTGATATCTCCCTTCAAATTGATGTTGGCTGGTCAAGAAGCATCAATTTGCTGATAAGAAACTGATGACGCTGTCGAGAAAGAGCTTTGGTAAATATATTAGTCGTTTGAAGGTCAGAAGTGATATGAGGAAGAGATATAACACCCTCATCATAGGCTTCTCGAATGGAATGACAGTCCACTTTAATGTGTTTCGTGCGTTTATCAAAGACAAGATTAACAGTAATCTGGATAGCACCAGTATTATCTGCGTGAAGAGAAGTAGACTCAAGCTGAGGAAACCAGCTTAGCCAGCACGCCACGAAGCCAAATGATTTAAGAACAAGTAGAGGACATACCGTGATATTCAGATTCAGTAGATGACTTAGACATTCGATCTTGTTTCTTGCTCTTCCAAGAGATTAAAGAGTTGCCGAGAAACATGCACAATCGAGTAATAGATCGGCGTGTATCAGAACAACCAGCCCAATCGACATCACTATAGGCTGTTAAGGTGATAGGAGACTTCGCAGAAAAGAACAAACCACAATGAGAAGTGCCTTTTTAAATATCGAATAATACGTCGAACTGCAGCTAAATGAAGATGTGTAGGTGCTTACATAAATTGACTAACTTGTTGCACAACAAATCAAATATTAGGACGCGTAATAGTCAGATAATTGAGACTATCAATCAGTTGTATATATAGAGATGATTCAGATAGAAAACCACCATCATTTTGTTGATATTTGACATTTACTTCCAAAGGGGTATCAGTAGAGCGACCATCTTGAAGACCAGCCAAAGCAATGAGTCCCTTCGTATAGTTGTGCTGATGAAGAAAAATACCAGCGGCAGAAGAGTGAACCTCGAGTCTTAAGAAATAAATTAATGACCCTAAATCTTTCATATGAAAAGAACCCTGAAGACGTTTCATCAATTGAGACATCAATTGATTATCAGATCCTGTGATGACAATATCATCAACATATACTAATAACAAAACAATTCTCTTGTCTGTCTTGCAAAGAAATAATGAGTCATACTGACTTTGAATAAAAGAGAAGCTAAGAAGGGTATTGCGAAACTTTTCAAACCAAGCCCGTCGAGCTTATTTCAAACCGTATAGGGACCGTTTGAGCTTACATTGAGCTTACAAAGCTTACAAACATCATGTGAAGGTATAGAAAATAAGCCTGAAGGAGGAGTCATATAGACGTCTTCTTTGAGATCTCCATGTAAGAATGCATTATTAACATCCATCTGCTTTAAGAACCAGTCTTCAGATGCAGCAATAGGTAACACCAGTCGAACAGTTGTCATCTTAACCACAAGTGCAAATGTTTCGTCATAATTAATCCCGTATTCCTGACGATTGCCAAGAGCTACCAATCTTGCCTTATATCTGTCAAGAGAGCCATCAGATCGGAGTTTAAGAGAATAAACCCATTTACATCCAATGGGTTTAACATCTATAGGACATGAAACAATATCCCAAGTGTGATTGTCTTGAAGTGCCTGAAGTTCCTCTTTCATGGCTTTGACTCAACAAGTCTGTTTAGCAGCTTGAAAGTAAGAGGTAGGAACAATATTATTAGTTAAAATTGCAGAATACTCATATCTATCTGGAGGACGGATACATCGGGTTGATCGTCGAATACTTATTGGAGCAATTTCTGGATCAGGGTCGGAGAGGATTGAAGGTGAAGGGGGCAGACGTCGTGTTTAGATAATGTCTGGCTTAAACCGTTTGTCAGCAGAAGAATTATCAAATTGTGAAAGTATAACTGTATCGGGTGTGAACACGTGATGCTGAAAGTAATATTCATGTTAAAAAAAATCACATTTTGATAAATATGTCATCGATTATTAATCGAATCATAACACACAAAACATTTATGATTATGACTGTACCCAATAAAGGCACATCGTATTGACTGAGCTGCCAATTTATGGCGTTCATGAGCAGATAAATGAATAAAACAAACACATCCAAAAGTATGGAACATATGATAATTAGGGTGTTTATTAAAAACTCGATAGTAGGGAGACTCATATTTCAATTGTTAAGATGGTAAGCGATTAATGAGATAAACCGCAGTGATAAAGCTTCAGTCCAAAATTTTGCTGAAATAGAAGATTCTATCAGTAATATGCACACGGTATCCAATAGATATCAATTTTTTTTTGTTTAACAACTCCATTTTGCTGTGGTGTATAGGGGAACGAACGTTGTGAAACAATCTCTTTGTTCTGAAGAAATGTTTGAAATTCATGAGACATGTATTCACCGTCATTGTCAGATCGTAAGAGTTTAATGCGAGTGGAGAACTGAGTTTCAACATATGCTAAAAATGTTTGGAGTACAGTAAATACTTCTGCTTTAGAACGTAAAAAATAGATCTAATTCCAAGTAAATCTAGATCCAAGTAAATCGACTGTAATCATCAATAAATATCACAAAATATCTATATTGAGCATGTGAAATAACTGATGTAATTTTTCAAACATTATTATGAATAATGTCAAAACATTTATTGACATGACTGTCTGAAATAAGAAAATATAATGTCTTGCTTTTTCTAAGTTTACAAACAGAACAATCAACTATTAAATTCTTATCTGTAGAACAAAAAACACCACT